TATGCATTGAAGACTTTCTTTTAAAGCGAATAGTAATTCTTTCTTATGATCAAAATTTTATTAAAAATGCACGATTGTAGTAAGATTCAAATATTAAAATATATTATCTTTTTATCAAAATGCATGTATTTTATTTATTTAATTCGTTTACCAAGTATATATATTTTTGATTTAATTTGAAAAATTAGTAAATGTTATTTATCAAAATCATTTAACAACAAATAATGAGTATTGTTACATCACCAACAATGAGAAAAAAAATACTCCTGGAAGTTAGAAGAATATTAAAGTTTTTAATGATTCTCATTCCTACACAGCACGATTTTATAGAAAAAAAAACCGGTGTTAATCATATTTTAAATTTGGAATAAAGTGAAGTAAGATAAAGTAATTTTAAAAGTCGAAAATATTCTGAACAATCTTTTTTTATTTTGCATAGCATGATATTTTGAATCTCGCAGAACACTGTGAAATTTTTCCCGAATCTGATGATATGACTTACATTCGGTAAATTAAATATCACGAATGTAAATATATGAAGAAGTGAGGCAAATGGTCGTCTTCAGTGCAATTCATTCACGCAAAATATATTAGCAATATTTATGATAATATGATCGATCATTCCAGTCATCGATCATTATTTACATATTTGCTTCGTAATATTTTAATATTATTTTAGAAATTCTGTTGTCGCGGGAATTGGATGTAGGAGGAGATATCGAGGAATTTTGCAAAATCTCGGGAAGATGTGTCATTTGTAATAGATGAAAATGCATTCCTTGCACATTGCTTTGCAAGTTTTGCTTCAATATAATAGAAGTTACGTGAATTTTAGTGCTGTAGCTGACCTAAGTTTTTTGCATTGTAATTTTTGCTTTTTCAAACTTTCAAACATCTGCAAAAAGTCATTGGGGAATAGAAATTCTGAATTATTAAACTGTTAAAAAGAATGAATTGGAGTTGCTATTTCAAAAGAAATTAATGAAAATTTACATTGCAAAAAAAAATCTTCCAAAAATATCTCTCAACTTTAAACAATCATTTGCGATTTGCTGAGAAGAAATGAATATTCATAAAAGTTACTTGTAAGTCTTTCTTTCTTACAAAAACTTTAATCTTTAAAAAGTTTTAATTTTTTAATAAGTCAAATTTTTAAAACATTTCTATATTGCACACAAATTTAGAATTATCCAAATAAAATTTTACAAAATTCGAACTCACTCAAATTAATTAAAATTAAAAATTTGAAATAATGAATTTTTGGAGCAAAGAAAATTTGAAAATTAACAAATTAATAGCACATGTGAATATCATTATTTACCTTTATTTGCATAATGCAATCGATGGTTCAGAAAAGAGACAAAAATAAAAAAGATAAGATAAATGTCTATAATAAATTGTGCATGAATTAATTTTGAAATTGAACAGCAACAAATATTAAAAGAAAGAAAATTGATCGATTTCAAAAATGAGACCAACAAAGCATGAGCGAGCAGTTCAAAGTGTACAATTAATCATGAAGATGGATGCCCGCAATGAAGATACTAAATATAAATGTATATAGCTTGTTCAAAATTTTAAATATTCCTGATCGTAAAGAAAGTAGTTCATTTGAGGAATATACCATCAACGGAATCAATATTTTTTGCTAAAAAGATAACAATATTGTTAAAATTTCAAATTATTTAAAAATTATTTAATAATCTGAAAAAAGCTCTCCTTCACAATCTGTGAATTGGTTTAATTCGTTTATTGAAATTAATAGCTTACTCGTATTAAACTTGTGGCAATTTAGTTTTACATATACTAAAAATATTTAATGTTAAATTTGTTCTTCATTGCAAATCTAAAAAAAATTTAATTAATTATTTACGAATAATTAGATTGTTTATAATTGAAAGTTTTTGAAATATTTTACTTTCATTGCTTTAATCTTTTGAATCTGGGCACATTTTTCTACATCGAAAAAAAAAAATTCATGAAAAGAAAATTAAAAAAAAAAGAGCAAGCTAGGAACAACGAAAGAATCGGCTCATTGTATTTTATTCATATAGACATTTTTCAGCTATATCAAATGAAATTTCAAGAATTTATTTTAATGGCAAATTTTTTCCTAAATCAAAAATTTTTCACCAATATCATTAATTATCATGAGTTTTTTCAAAACAGCAAAATAGCAACAGGACTGTATAATAGAAGTTAATTAAAGAAGGTAATAAAGATATATATGCTAATAATAAAAAAAGAATGACTTTTTTTGATTTTGAAAAGATCCAATTTAATTGAGATTTATTTCAAAATATGATGCGAGAATTTTTACATTCATAAATGTAAATTAACAATTTTATAAAATGCAAAAGCACTGACATCATGCACGATAGGTTAAATTTATAACGATTATTTCATACTACGATAAATTATTCAAACAATGCTAAAAATTACAAATAAACTTACAAAATTACAAAATTTTATATTTGAAAATGCCCGCCTATTAAAATAAAGAACATATCATTCATTTGTTGTTGCAATTTAATAAATCAATCATGAGATACTTACTTCTCATTTGCAAATATGTTCCTCGATGATTTTTTCACACGGTTGACAAATCACTCGACAGCAATAATGAAATTTACAATTGCACCGATCCATTACTTTACGCACTCGTGTATCGAAACCACGATAGCAACACATCTAGAATTGACGGTGTAAAATTTTGATGTATATGGTAATTAACAAATGGAAATAATCATAGCACCGAAATTTATTGATGATAAAGGAAAATTGGAGTGAAAAGAGTATAGTACGAAATTTAAAATTTTGCAAACTTAAATTTGTAAAATTTGTTTTGATTAAAAGAAGTTAAGGAATTTTGTTGATTAAGATATACTGTAAAAATATACCTTATGATAATTACAAAAATATTTCAAATAAACTTTCAAAATTACCAAGTCACAGCCATCAATACCATGTGAGGAAACATTACAAAGGCGCCCATGTGTTCCCAAAATACCATATTCCGGATCCGGTTCGCAATAATCCGGAGACGACTCCAGATAAACCTTCATAACATTAATGATAATAATAACAATAATAGTAACAATAATAATAAACCATTTACTTTTTCTGCTTATGATAAACATTAACATCATAAGTTAATAAATTTTATGTAACTAATTTGAAAAATTAATTAATAAATCTTCCTTATATGATGCTATATACGTATTTTTAATGTGAAATTTTCGTTATTTGAACAAAGTTCGAATATCTTGTAATTTGCTGGAAATTACTTCAATGACAATTTTCATTTCAGATAAATGATGCAAAACTATAGCTTACGAGATCAGCTTTGGTATGTCGTCTAAAATTGACATTTTTACGGACCATTATCGGTTTATTGTCCTCTTCAACGATTGCTACTTCTGTAGCACCGTCAAATTTATCTTTGATTATCTTTCCAATTTCCCTATAATTATATAGTCGATATCAATATAGTAGTGAAATGTTTAAAATCGTTAAATTCAAATTTAATTTCATGATATTAACACTAATTTTAATTTCATTTTTTAAAAATTTTTGCCGATAAAAACACTTTACATGATTTTTGACCTTTACAAAATCAAAAAAATCTTTACTTTTTGATCTTTAATCTTTACAAGCTCTCAAAATCTTGAAAGAGAGAAAGAAAAATTTATTGATCATTGAATTTTTAATAATATGCTGAAAGCTTCCTCGGAATATCAACAAGTATCCATTCACCTTCTCTAGCGATTTATCCTTTGAGTGTAATAAAAATAAAAAGTCATCGGAACCTTTGACCTCTGAAGCAGATTTACCTAAATGTTGGCATTGATTTCCAGCATGTTTTCATTTCACAGGAACCGCTCAGACCGTGACATTTGCATTGCTTTCGAGTGTTTAACTCCAGTACCTGTTCGAGAAAAGAGAATAAAAGAGTTAAAGCAAAATACAGTCATCTCATGTGATTCGATTCTTTTAGCTGAAAGCATACTGCAACATGAAATCTTTCATCTTATCAATGTAATTATCAATTTAATCATTCATTAACGGAAGCACGAAAATATTTTAATAGTTTGGTTACCTGTCTGCCAGCATTGTTATTATGCAAATTCATGATTTTCCGTTCAAGAGTTTGATTTTTGCACCTTTCAGCTGCATCAGCAAAAGCTCTCGATACAGCAACACCGTACCGCACGTTATCCGAACAACCATTCCAGTTGAATTGATCCGTTTTTTTTAAAGCACTCAAATCGCAACCACACTTATCGATAAGTCCCTTAGAACAGTCTCTGTAATTTAGTAACAAAAAATTATCCTTTCTGAAAAATGATGTACAAATTGCTCGATCGAATTTTTTTCTGTATAACTAACTAACTAACTAACCGTGTGATTCGATAAGCAATCCCGGCGGAAGAAATAGCATGAACGAAGGCAGCTTCTCGAGTACCACGATTTAAAATCATATCACCGAAAACTTCTTTTGTATTTGGATTGATTATTGAGCAATTCCATCTAAAAAAAAAAAAATGCATCAAATAAATTTTTTTTCAATCCGAACATTTTTAATTCATTTAGGAAAATGAATTAAAATTTAAAAAATTTTAATTTAATTTTTGAGATGAAAAATTATAAATTAAATTAAAAGTTTTTGAAATTACATATTTAAATTTGATCTAATTTTTTCTCATTTTGCTTATGATGCTATTGCTTTAAAATTTGTTTCAAATACATTTAATCGATGATCCTTCTAAGACTTCAATTAAAAATAATAATCGTTTAGCAATAAAAAACATTATCTAATAAGTTGAAATAATAATCTAACAATAAAAAAGATTTACAAGAGCTATTTTTAGCATTCAACAGTGACAAAAAATTCGATCAATAAGCTTATCAATATGAACTTATTAATTGAATTTCTCTCTTTTTTTGATTTCAATAATACAACATTTCAAAATATGAATTCTACTTAGAACAAACCTTCTCTGTTGGAATTGATGTTGACACTCGGAGTAAGCAAGTTGTGCACCGGCTCTTACGCTATCCATCTGTTCGATGTTACGTCGACAAAACCTTAACTGCAATATTCACTGTCACATACAAATTTACGACTTTTTTAATCAATAAAAGGGATCAAAATGATTGTGATATTGTAAAGGTCAACTATCTAATTTATTACACACATACACATGAAGATTTTTTACTAATCCTATATTTTCTATCAATTTAAAGTTATCGTAATGGATTACAGTTGAAATTTTTAAATGAAGAAAAATGTAATATTGTTACACTTCTTTAGAAGTTAAGCTTTTGAATTAAATTTGAAATAGATAGATTCTTTATCCTGTAAAATTTCAAACTTTTGAAGAATTTTGAGTATGACCTGTTTGCGTGTGAGCCCATGCAAATGTCGACATGACCATTGTGGATGCAATCGATCTATCTTTGAACTGGACAGGCTTAAAGCTCTAAAATAAATTTTTATTCATAAATTTAATCGATAATAATGTATGTGACAATTTGCTGAAAAAAAACACTGTATCAGGATGTTTTAAAAGTTGAAGTCATATGTTTTATTTTTAAGGATAGTTGGAGATAGTGATGTGATATCATTTTCTGATTAATTAGAAATGTGATATCAAAAATCATTTGATATCACATTTCTAATTAGTCAAAAAATGTTTTTTTTTAATCATTTTATAATGAAGTAAAGATGTGACATCATTTTGTAAAAAAAAAATGATGAAGATGTGATATCATTTCATGACTAATTGGAAATGTGATATCATTGTATGATTAATTGGAGATGTGATGTCATTTCCTGGTAAGGTAGAATGTGATATCATTTTCTGATTAATTAGAGACATGATATCATTTTCTCAAAAAATTTATCAACTGCCTGAAAGTTTCAGTAGCAGAAATGTTACTTTCATCTTGTCACCATTGCAAAATATATTAGTGATTGAGTAATTAATTATTGAATAATATTCCAATCTTTTCTATCAAAAATTATCTTCAAAAGCATTTCCTCATTTAGTAAATTTAAAAGATTAAACTGAGGTATGCTTAAGCGTAAATACGAATAACAGCTATGATCAACTTTGAATGGCTAATTGAGTTTCGCATGCAGAAAAGCTATTTCCTCTTGAGGAATATATTATGATTGCAAAATATCATCTGGATAGAGATGAGGATACGGTAGTTTGTAAATTGTCATAAACTGTGACGGTTCACTGGAGAAAGGGAAAAGAGAGGGAGGTGGGAAAAGAGAAGAGGGACATTGGAGTTGAACTGAATTGATGAATGCCTGAGGGGAACGGGGAAGGGTTCATTCATTTCTCTTTTCTTTTAGAGAGAGAGGGAGAAAGAGAGAGAGAGAAAGAGAGAGATAGATTGTTGCTCGTATCATCATCGAATGTTACTTAACAAACCAACCAATCGATTTCATTTGTCAAATGTTATCTATCATTTTGAAGGAATTTTTAAATCCACTAAATGATGCCATCCATTTTAATTGTCGCTGTCCATTTTTTATGACAAAAGTAAATGAATGTTAAGTGAATAAGTAGCAATTGAAATAAAGCTAACGAAAATGAGAATGAATTTGGAATTTTATTCAGAATTATTATAATGTACATAATGAATTTGTAGTAATATATGGTTAATTTGCAATTTGCTCAATCTATTCGTTAATTTATTTTGCATAGAGAGTACTATAAATAACTGTAATTGACGAATTACGATTCATTCTTGAAAAATGGAAATTATCTGATCAAAATTATTCGATTCAAAGAAAAAAAAAACTATTTGTAATCCCGGAAAATTCAATATCGAATTTGAAAAATTTTCTTTTTTAAATATTCAGTGATAATTTGGCCATTATTTCATAACTTCATAATGGTTAAATTATATAAGGAAGTACTACCTAAATAATTTAGCTATTATAAAATAACTAAGGAAAAAAAAAGAATTGAACATTTCGTTTTTAGAATTATTAACACGAAACAAATTTCGATTAGCTCAATCATTGAATTCCTTCATCTACTTTTAACGTATTCTAATTTGCATTAGAAAAAAAAAGAAACGAGAACAATTAAGATTGGTGAATGGAAATCACTCCTACTGAATGATATATTGATATATATATGAATGATATATAGAATGATATATTAAAAAATGTGTTAGAATGGCGCCACCGTGCAATTTTTAGCTCAAATGAACAAAAAGCAGAAGTTGGAAAAAAGCAAAAGGTTGATGCTTTCAACAACAGCTAACATTTTTATTAGCACAAAAGAAAAAGCCATAAGCATATCATTTATATTTTTACTTTTCTTCTGAACAATGCGAATTTAAATTTCAATCTATCAGGATCATTCATTGATATGGATGGAAAGTTTTAATTTTAATTTTAATATCTTTCACTAACATTCTGCAAGACTGTTGTAGATTAAATTCTTTGAAATGAAGTTTAGGGAAAACGAATGAAATGATCTGTCGGAAAATGTAATAATATCTGATGAAGGCATGAAATCATTCAATTCATCAAATTCAATTAGAGAATTTTAGTTTTTTACAAAAAATATTTTGAATTTCTATTTTTTTCAATAATTTTTAAAGTTTCCCAGATCATTCAAAATTCAAGATGGAAAGATATGAAATCAAATGTTTTCCATCTGCTTATTTATCTTTTCACAAATGCATTTTAATCAGTTAAATTTGTGCTTAAATCAATATCTCGTGCTAAAATAAATTTTGATTTCAAAAGCTAAATATATCATTCCTCATTCATGGATGTATCAAGTAATTTTAATATATCATTCCTCATGTTAAATAATAAGAATCAAAATTTGACATAATGAATGTTATTTGTAATCAGTCTAATTTAGTTAAATCAATAAAGCAATTGAATTAAAAAAATGATTAGTATTTATTGAAAATTGAGTTAATTTGAATCAATAATTAAAATTTTAAATACAATTATTGTTGCAGAAAAAAATAAGAGAAAATATTACAGCCATGAGATCGCGATGACGTAATCGACAAATGGATCGAGAAAAAGTAGTAAAAAGATGATATAATTCATCGCCAATGCTCGTCCTCAGCTTATTTTTATAGCACATTGCTCCACCGTATATGTGCGCAAGCAACAGTCATCAGTTGTATTGCATTCA